TCAACTATAGAGTAGAATGATGAACTTAATATAATTAATAGTTCAATTAATCTTAAATAAAGGAAAAAAATTGAAAAAAGAACTAAATTGCTATTTTTCGATAATGACCAATCAACAGATCGACTTACATCAGTATCTGAAGCTGACAGAAAATAATTATCATATGACACACTAAACTAAAATAATTTTAGTTCAATATTACATGTTCTAGTGATTCTACAAAATATGTTATTTGATGCTTCATTAAACTTAATATAAGATTGCTTTCGATACCTGACTGATTCATAGCTTATGTCATTCAAATTGGTAATTGAGACTTGTTAAAGATATTGTTCAAATTTCATGTTTTACAGAAGACTAATTGTGATGTGTTACTTTAGTAGAAAAACATTATCAAGTATTGGCGCAGTAGGTTTTTTTTCGATAATGTTAACGACAAGGACATAAACTTGAAGAGAATATAATAGTTTCTCTCTCCATTAAGAAACTTTCAACTTCATTTGAAGCGTTGAAAAAAAATAATGTCACACTTTCTGGGATTGGTTGATAAAGTAATTATGAGAGAAAGCATTTACAATTAAACAATTTCAGATCAGGCATATAGAGTATACGATGCATCATGTCACATAGTCAACTACAATTAATAGATAAAGTGCTTGAGAAGTTTAAACCGATGTCTAGCCTTATTTTTAAGTTCCTTCAAATTGTGTATATTGAAAGAGATAGTCGTCTAATACAAATGATGCATATAACTACTTACAAATAATGATAAATTCAGTCACAGGTTTCTTTTCGTTTGTATTTGTTTCTTTATTTTTAAGATTAATTGAACTATTAATTATATTAAGTTCATCATTCTACTCTATAGTTGATGAATATAAAGACGCAAATTTTATTTCTTAGATTTGTCAATTTTAACGATGTATCTAATTGAAGAAAACTTAGCAAGTTTCAGTACCATTATTAGCGGGTTTTGTGTAGAAGTTATGTTGTATATACATTCAGGGAATATACTTCATCGGTTTTCAACAAATATAATCGAAACTGATTCGTATACCAAATCAAAGTATCATGATGAAAATTGGCATGTCCTTTGTTAGATGTAGAACCAAGCAAGAAAACATCGGTAGAGCTATATAATATATATATATCTTCGCCAATCAACTATATATTAAGTTAGTTCCTATTACGTTTAACCGATGTGTGCCTATAATTCTGTGCTCTGTTTTGACTGAATCAACACACTGATAATCTTAGCTAACACACACACAAAAGTTCTTATAATCCCGAAGATTTTACTTCAAAGAAAATTTACATTATCTAAAAATAGTTTTCATGATCTTTATTGTTGATTCCAATAAGTGATCGATAAAATTGACTAGTTATTACGTGTAAAATACGATTTCTTTATTGAATAGTTCATATTACCTCGTCGGTACTTATAGGTATCAGGGTATATCAGTGGTAGTACGAACAAACTTGCGACATGTATACAATAACTCTGTTTTGGGCTTAATTTTAATATTGTTTCATACAAAATTCAATTTAAATGACAAAAGAAAATTTGCAATGTGCAATGAATTCAATCGTTTCTGCGTTACATTTGGATTGTTTTAGGAATAGATGCAAAGATAATTCATAAAGAACTGACAACAGAATTGGGACCTAACATTCCATCATATTCAACAATTCTACGATGACCAAAGAATTTTTATACAGAGAGAGAAGATGTCGATGTTAGGGATACACAAATTCCAAAATCTTGGCTTAGAATTGGTCGAAATTGGTTTTTGTGGAATTACTGATTTAGTGCGTATACAGCTAAATTCATAGTCGGTTTGAAGTTTTTCAAGATCAACTCCAAACCAATTGTAAGAATTGGAATTGAGCATCCCTAGTCTATGATGAATATAGATCTCACAGTTCGATTTCAGAACTTACCGATCGTAATAGTTTTGAATTGATATGGAGATCATCAATAATAATCCAGATTTAAATTATAATGATATTCAAACTAACATTTCTCTCTCTCTCTATCCCAGTACAATAAAACGAATCATCTACGAGTTTTTAAGCATGAAAAAACTTATGTCGATCATACAATTTTATTATAGGACACACGACATGAATTTATTATAGATGAATATTACAACCCATCAATGAATGGTAGCGACATTAATGATGAAGACTTAATATTGACTATTATTTATCAGAATAGCTTTGAATTGAAATCTTTATTTTCTATACGTATATTTTAAATCAAATGAGCTTGCTCTTTTATGCCTAGTATAGATAATGGTTAAATTATAGAGCATGATAATTAGACGAAAAAAATGTCGAAAACTTTTTGTTAACAATATATGAAGTAAAAGAAAGATACTGCGTGTAAGAAATATCAAAATACTTTACAATCACTTTTACTTCATATTCATCGAATGTTATTAAGTATTCAGCACAATAGAGCATCAATACAATGTTATATTATTATATTTGTCAGAGCTGACACGATGCAGCGTTGGAATAAGCAAATATATCGGATGTAATTTGAATGTTTCAATAAATGAATCCTGAGCTGCTCCTTCCATTGCTAAAGTAGTTAAAATTAAATTAAAAGAAAATTCGAAAAAAACCTTTTAACTAGTTGTGAGAAAAATATAGACTTCACATAAATAATCGTAACAACTATCTTAAACATTTAATAAAATATAATTAAGAATATCTGTTGAATTTTATATTGTTAACTAATGATATCAGAAATTTTGGTCGACCCTAAGTGTTCTAAATAAAATGTTCTCGTTGTATAGTTATCAATACTATCATTCATTTCGTTATTTTATAATGTGACCTTTGCAATATATACGTATATAACTATATTTACTTACGAAAATGTTAGAAAAAATATGAAATATCATGATGTCAATCTTGTCTAAATTGTTTCTTTTCTTTTTCTTCATTATGAGATATTTTTATGCTTTCGTATATTTACATGAGTTGTAAACCACAATGGATAGTAGTGTTCATCTTTTACACATCCAGAGATATACATCGTATCATAGATCACTTCACCATTAGCAAGATAACCTGTCCACCATCCAAATGTTCCACCAGTTATGATTGAATGTTCACAAAGTGAAAGTGTTATTAAATCATCACCCATGGAAAATGATGATGGTGTAATATAAATATTCGATCGATGGCGAAATAATCTTTTACAATAAGATTTATCATCACTTGCAACAATAAAATGAACATTTGAATAATGTAAAGTGTAATAATCAATAGCAGCAAATAAATATTCATCGGTTGAAGAATAATTTAAGGAAATAAAGTCATCACGACGTACATGAATTCCAATCCATGTTGTCCAGTTCAATTGAGCTAATTGCTTTTTTAATGATTGATGGTTTTCTAATGAAAACTGAGGTTTAAAGTCAAACAGTCGTTCATAAATATCAATAAATAATTTCGAGACTTTCTCAAGTAACGGTTGTCTTGCAACGAAAAGATGATTTCGTAATTCATCACGATATCTATCAAAATGTAGATATGATTGCCAAAAACCTTTGACTTCGAATATAGATCCTTCTACTATGGCATTTGGACGTATCAATTCAGGAATATATTGACAAATAATATCTCTGGTAATTTTTTTCATTGGATCAGAAATATTTTTCGATATCAGTTTAAACATACGCATTGACAAAAGAAAAGGTGGAAGATTAAAAACAAAGACAGATCTTATTTCTCCTAGCATTACTGGTAGAATGAACAAATGACAAGAATGAAGGCGAGCAAGAGCATAGGCAGTGGCCATGGTAAACATTCGATTACCAAGACGACCTCCACGAAAACGTGTATATACAACACAACGTATTGAAGGAAGTTTTATTGGAACCACAATTTTCTTTTCAACATGTACTAATTGTGTTTCTATTGTTAAGAGCGATTGATTTTGTATAATTATATTCATTGAATTTACTATATATTGATAGTGCCAAAACGAAGTACTTATTAATAATAACAGACCAACAAAAAAAAATGCTCTTAATAATAATGTAATTCTGTTATTGAAGGATCTACGTCGAATTAACATTTTATTTGAACTAGTTCGATGACCGTCTTTTATTCAATAAATGCTCATAATTTGTCGTCCATCTAATAGGCTAAAAAGAAACGAAGACTTACAGAAAATTATATAGAACTCATTTTTTTTTTCATTAAAATACACCTTTCTTTTTCTTCCTCTTTGTCCAATGTAAATGTAAAGTCACGCGTATCGTTTATAATATTTATAAATTTACCTACTACTATATTGCATGTCACACATGTCTTATACATTAATATTGAATGTTATCAATTAATAGCCAAGGAACATAAGGAAGACAGGTACATATTGACGAATATGTCTTTAGGTTGTTTATTCAAGTCATCGTCAGTCACATATATACTTTGATGTAATTACATGTGTACGCGAATCGGTGAGTGAAGTGCATATTTTCCTTCAATTATGAGAAAAAAAAACTAGATGGTATTCAAGTTTCACTAGGCAGAAAAATATGGCTTGAAGTTTCTAATGTTGATCGTCGAAAAAATTCGATATCTTCTAAAAAACAAGCAAATCATTTGTACAATTGATTATGAATCGTTTTTCTTCAAAAGATTTTTACTTTTCACTCGTGTCAAAGTCCTTTTTCTGTCATTATGAATTCGAAAACATACTTGTCAATCAATCAGCTGATTGAAATCAAAAAAATATCGTTAAGTAGCTACTGTGAAATGCATTATTAAGAGAACACTATTAAATTATATTAATATTCGTTTAATGAAATATTATCAGTTGATTCTCACTCCGATTTAGTTATAGTCAAAGAGTATGATGGCTAATCTTTGCTTCTATTATAGATTTAATTACGTTGAAATTTGAAAAAAAAATTAACTCAACAAATATTTGTGTTTTTTGGGATGACCGTCTATAAAAAAAATCGAATGTGTGATTGGAGGTCACAAAACAAATGTTAGCCATTCGAGCGTGAAATTTCATTTTCGTATCTGAGACGCATATTTTTCGATTTTCTCTTGTCAAAATCATCACGACGAAAATTATACAAAACTTCATATATGCTGTGCTTCTTATGATATTAAATATCTAAAGTGTACGAGAACCATTTCTTTTACTCAATTCTACTAGAAAATATTTGTATCATTAATAACTACTAATGGCGTATTGATTTAACAAACAAAATTTGATTTTTATGCTTTCAAATATATTAATTTATATACTTAAAGAAGTTCTTGCTCATTTTTTTCTAGATATAAATCAATTTTCAAATAATCTCTATAATTTGCCTTCGTTGTTGAAACTTATACATTTTAATCTACTTCATGTAATTATTTGTCATATTATTCATCTTTCTTTCAGATTAAAGCATGTTTGCTATTTTTTTCTTCATTCAAAATTACATATCTTAATAACCTGTTGTTACATAAAAATGATCCGATACTCTGATACAAGGCGATAAAAAAGAAAACAAACATTTGCAAATTTATTCTTAGATTTCAATATGTCATGCTGAAGAAAAAAAAAACAAATTTAATAAAATGTGTCTGCAATCAATAATTTGCTGTTCGGTTAATTGCCAGATTAGAAACCAATAAAATTCTCGACAGGTAAAGTAACATATTAAAATACATAAACTACTAGTATCATAATTTATTCTAGTTTTTAGACAAAACTTATTGTTTCATTTTTCTATCACAAAGTGTAATTACTATTTTTACGTGCTCTAAACTTTCCATCTATCAGAAACCATGGTGGATAGTAATATTCCCGTCTTTCACATTCAGATGGATATACTTTATCATAGATCACTTCACCATTAGCAAGATAACCTGTCCACCATCCAAATGTTCCACCAGTTATGATTGAATGTTCACAAAGTGAAAGTGTTATTAAATCATCACCCATGGAAAATGATGA